GCTGATCTTGAGCTCCCTCTTCCTAGTTCATTGGACACTCGAACGCTGAAGAAACATACAAAGTTCAGAAATTTGCAGGTCAAGTGCAAGTCTAGAGGAGGATTAATGGTCAATAGGAGTCATGACTCATGTGGTTATACCTTGCTGCAGCCAAGAAACCAAAAGAGATCATGATTTCCAATCCATCGATGTTGAGGCTGCAGGTAATGAAATTATGCTATTTCATTTTAGTGAACAGGCCTTTGATAAAAAACACTGCAGAGCAGAAAAGAACGGAAGTGCATCACAATTACCAGATGGCAAGCGCATCGATGGAAACCTCCGCATTTTCCATGTTGCCTGTTAGAAGAACCAACACCGGGTTGTACCACAGCTCGAGACTGACAATTAGCAAAGAAAAGGAATTCAGTGAAAATCTTGCATGAAAAAGAAAGGACGTGCGCTATCCACTTCTGATGTGAGATTGCTAGTGTTCAGATTTCACCATTTATTTGACAACAAAAGATAATCACACATTAGAGACTGTAGATACCATATGGTAAGACCAACTAAACTAATGTCGATCCACACAGAAAATTAGCAATTAAAACAAAATCTCATGTCTCGGTGAAGAAATGCTGCCTTACCATAGCATGGCACCGGATGAAAGCGAGAGCTTGATCACTGGCCACAAGTCCTTAAATGCCAAACTCGAGAAACCCTTCCAAGTATTTCGGCAACCTCCGCACATCACGAACACGAGTTGTCCTATGTTAGGAATCCAATATGCCAAAATGGCAGAAGCCATGGCGCCTAGAATTCCAAACTTGTATTTCACGGTCAATAGCCACGAGAGGCAAAGATGAACCCCCACTGAGAATGCTGCTATGTATGCGATGACCATGTTCTTACTCTGTGCTTGGAGAAACATTTGGCAGGTGAAAGATATGACGAAGGCGAAGAGGATCGGGATCAAGCAGAGTGAGATTTCTCCAGCGACCTTTGCAATTTTATCTTCCTGGCCTAAGGCTTTTAAAAGTGGCGTGGTGAAGATAAATAGAGGCACTAGAAAGATGGAGCAGATTGTTAGGACAATCCATGATCTCTGGAGGTACACTCCGAGCATGTGATATTGTTTTGCGCCGTAGGCCTGGCCACATAGGGTCTCTAACGCACTTGCCATGCCAAGCTGCAAGTTCCATGGACAGATGCGTGTTCTATAAATCATTTCAAAACCCAAATTTCCGAACAACATTATATGAATTACACAATGAAAGGTTTCTCTGACAGGTGATAAAAGCTATGCCTGGAGATGCTTTTAGTGAATTCACTGAAAGTCTCGTTGGTCATGCTCTTTGTCAACAATAACAATTTCACTGGCATTAACATATTCAGAAAGTCAGACCAAAAGCTGACGAGCTGCTTCCATGAGAAGCCGGTACTGACTTAGTGCTTTGCGGCATCTATTTTATGTCTTTGAGTATTATTACTTCAGGGACATTAGACTGCTTCCATGAAAAAAATTATCATTCATTATTCAGTGTTGGGCTAAGTGGCACAACAAGTGCTTAAGAAGCATCTATAAACAATAAGTACAGAGACAAAGAAGTAATCTTTTGCAAATCAAAAATGTTGATGTAAGATGAACAGCAGCAGGATACCTCACTACATGATTATATGATGTGAAAAAATCAACAGCTGAAGTATTGGAAAACAGACTGAAACATACCGAGACGCCATTTGAGAATCTCAGGAGGACAGCGAAGACGAGAGAATAGGCAGCCAGTTCGGTGGACCCGATGTGGCCGATAAAAGCTTGGCTTATGACATAAATCCCAAAGGTGGAGAATCTGGTGAATATTGCAGGCGCTGCGACAATCCACATCTTCTTGGTCTCCCTCCATATCCTGTCCTTCAGTGGCTCATCCTCATCACCATCACCAACTTCCGCTGCTAACGATTTCTTCAGCAGCTTCTCGGACCCATCTCCCTCCATTGCCATGACTAGTAATTAGACCTATGTTCACCTTATATGCCCATGATAACGTCACCTATTCCGATCAGCTGTGAATCAGAAACACAGTGTGAATGAAAATAAGCAGCTAAGGAGCGGATTTCCTAGTAGAGTTGCTTTTGGTGTAGACATGCCAAGAATCATGGCTTGGGATGATGAGAACTCACAATAAATCAGTTCATAGTGAGGTTGTGTGCTCACGTCACATGTTTAGAGTTGCAAATAGCATCACTGCTTCCCTAACTAGACTCTCTTAACTTGGTTCAGCGAAAAAAAAAAAAAGACCCTCTTAGCTTGGACAAGGCATACCAACTTATAAAGGAGTAACAGCACCCAAAACTCAACTGCAGGTAACTCAACATGTTGGGGTGTGGTTCATAGATAGGAAGGCATGGGGGCCGTTGCGATGCCTATACTTTATTGGTGGTTTGATCTTGGGCCAATGAATATCTACTGAGTATATATAATCTCTCTCTTGTAACTAAGGATTGCAATAAAGAGGTGAGATGTGCCAATTATAGTGGAATCTTTTGCTGGATGTAACCCTAGTTTGAGGTGAATTAGGATAAACCTCGTGTCTCCATTTTTCTTTTTCGCTTTTACTCTCTATTTTGTTGTGTTTGTATGCCTAATCTTAACACAACATTCAACAGTCATGAGCCTTAGTTTGTGAAGTTCAAATTTAAAATGGCACGATTAAGACAATCCTGTGCTAGTACTGGGGCAATCATGCCCAGCTCAACGTATTAACAAATTATCACATCACCAGAATTTGGTATAGTGAAGCACATGATTGATGGCTTTCCTACTTTTGTTCAGTTACGTCTAGATCAGTGTAAATTTTGATACTAGCAAGCAGTGTTCAAGTTGAGACGTTGCACATACTAGAAATTTCTTAATGCAGTGTGGCATGGACAGTCTTAATGGTGAGTATGAAGTGACTCTAAAACTAGTGATGCACATGAAATGAGGATAAGCAAAGGAGTTTTGACTCGTTGAAAAGCCAGCTTCTAGCGAAAGTGACAGAGTGAGAGTTGCATTCTATCTTCTGTTGGCATGTTTATTCATGTAATGTCAAAAAAAAGCATCAGGAATCTTGATTCACCCACGACAACAATCGTGTCTTTCATTCTCTCTAGAGTCCATGAGGTATCAAATTGTTCACATCAATGTCGCTTCCCCGTTTTCACTTGGCTTCACATACATTGCAAAAACTCTTTTGTCCTCTCTGGCCGAACGGGCGAGTTCGAGAACGACGATGAGAAACGACACGATGGAAGTAACTGTCCGTAGTTGTGAATTGATTTGAGAAACGGTCATCGTCCAATGGACATATGAATTATGCCGGTACTTCCAAGCTGCCGCAATTGAATATTTATACGAGTTACAGAACGGTACATATGACAACCGAGGATATAGATTTTCATTTGTTCCAAGAGCTGCTGGAAGAGCATTTTAAAATTAGAGGGAGAAAAGACTATCGGGAAAAAAATAAATTATCTTCTGAGCGTTCAATTCAGGCGAGGACAAAACTCACCAGTATGAACGAAATTTATTTTTGCTTGACGTCTCATCAATCAGCTCAAGCGTGGCATATTGCAAAGAATTTAAAGAATCAAAATCTTTTTGTCGTTTCATATTGACATTGATCCATGATGTTGAGTAAAAGTCCTGAACAGTGTGGATTATGTCACATATCAGAACATGTGGATAGGAATGATTTGGGGGGTTACTCCACAATGCCCCGCTCTTTTCTGCATGAACAGTGATGGATTCCGCCGCCTCCTAAAGCAAGGCGGATTTGCACTCTGTCCATGACTACATTTTTGCTACACCCACCTGTTTCATAAGAAGGAACGAGCACCTCTAGGAGAAAATTGAGATTTTTGTGATGCAGACTTCATGCATGTACATTGAGCACAGCAATAGACGATGTCTGTAACTGAATTCGTTCGATCGATTAACAGAAAGCTGGAAAAAGAACACACGACACTGAGAACTGCATACAATCATGTCATCCCAAAAGCATTAGCATTTTGCACAATGTCTAGGCATATATAGTCAAGAACCTTGCAGGATTTGTGGAATAAGCTTAGGTTGCGTTTGGTAACCATTCTGTTCCCGAAAATAATTTTTACTCATAAATGATTTTTTTATTCTATTTCTGGAAATAATTTTTAAATATTTGAAGGCGTTTGGTAATTGTCTAAAATTTCTATTCTTGAAAGAGAAAAAGAATAGAAATATATTTGGTAACTGTATAAAATTTCTTTTTATTAATATTATTTTAATAATATTTTGAATTTTTTAATATTTCTTTCTTTTTTTTCCTTTTTTTTTTTCTTCTTCCCCTTCCTTGGCCCATGGCCAGGTCACCAGCATCAGCGACCGGCGGCCAGCCACAGCCCGGGAAGAAAACGAAGCAGAAAACCAAGAAGAAGAAAAAAAAAATTTCTTTTCCATTTCTGATTCTTGTTCGCATAATCAAAAAGTAACTTTTTTTTGCTTCTTGATTCTGGGAATAAATTTGTGCCCAGGAACAAAAAATTTACCAAACGAATTTCTGTTCTTTTTTTGTTCCCCAGAACAAAAAATTAGAATTAGTTACTATTTGACTAGTTACCAAACACATCCTTAGTCGAATGTCGCCATGGAAAGCTCGTTCCTCATTTCAAAACCAGCAAATGTTGCAGCTACTAATTTAGGCCATATAAGTCCTCTTTTGACATGAGCTTTGCTAGGATTGCTGTCTATAATCAATGACTACTACTCGAGAGCAGATTACATATATTGAGCAATTAACATTTCCTACATTCAATTCGAAAGAGAACTGAAAATCCATTCATAGATGAGCAACACGGTAAAACTCAAAATGCTCCAGAAGGAAGATGTTCGACGTGATAGGAAATTGCTTGCTTTGACGGAATAACGTAGGATTACAGGAGGAGAAACGGTGTCGAAATCAAGAAAGTACGTCCCTTCTCATTTTAATTGTCCTTTTTATAGATTTGCTAGAATGTCATCGCTGCTTTAATTTAGGTTGAATAAGTAATGTTTTGACAGCATTTCCACTGATCTGAGGTTCCTCCTTTAAAACTAGTCGTAAGTTTATCTTACTAAATGAAGATACGATACACATTTTACAGGACATTACATTATCAAGGCGCTTAACTGCAATAAAGTGAAGGTCATTTCCCATTGCGACACAGAATTCTTCGTTGTCTTCACAAGAATACGAGGAGAACGAGAAAGCTTGAATCATACACCCGTGCCAGCCGTGCGTGATGCTTCTTCAGCCACGAACCACTCATTAACGCGTGTTCGAGCTAGTGATACCTGCAGAAGGACATAGAGAGAGTCATTGACCTTCACAATCAACAGGAATTAACGGAGAACAGTAATATCCGGCGCACCTGCTTATCCCAATCAGTTTTGTAGGTAATAACGATCAGTACTACAGTCTGAACGAAAGTTCCGAACAGCATTCCGACCCACACGCCCTGCAAGAGGGATTATCAAGTGTTAGGAATTTCAAATTTGCAGGTGCAGGTCAAGAGCTTCAGCCCATTTAGACATGTCTCACTCATTGATATGCAGATTCACCGATGCAGACCGACTTAGAAAGGAAATTAGTAGCTCACCTTCACTTGCATACTTAAAAAATAGGCAAGTGCGACTCCCACGGGAATCCCTACTAGGTAATAGCTTATGATGTTGACATAGGCTACTATGCTCTGCCAACCAGCTCCAACGGCGACTCCTGATATATAAATGTTGAGACTAATGTTCAATCACAATCAGGTACTAATGATTTGATATTAATCCTCCACATATTGCTCACGTCATACAATGGATCGTCATATTTCTCGAATTATACAGGACCTCACTAAATCCCACAAAAGAAAAATATGAATCCCATGAAAGTTTTATGTATTGATCGATGAACTTTATGTCCACTCATGTCAGTAATAACCGAAAACCATCAAGAACTTCTCTAAGGAATATTATACTTTTGTTCATTTGATCAGGAGGGAATAGTGGAGAAGTACCAGAAAGCACTGGTTGGATGCTGTTCAAAAGTATGGAAATAGCCAGAAGAGGCGATAAATCAGCCACGGCATTGGCGACCTCGTCGCTCTCAGTGAAAATATAAGCCAGACGCCCCCTGAAGAAGAGGAAGAACACAAAGAAAACAAATCCGATGGCGAACGATGTGAGCACTACCATCATGATCGAGAACTTTACCGATCTTGTGCTCCCTCTTCCTAGTTCATTAGATACTCGAACGCTGAAAAAAAATACAAAATTCAGAATTGCTGGTAAAGTGCTAGTCTAGAGGAGGAATTAATGGTCAATAGGAGTCAAGACTCGAGTGATCATACCTTGCCGCCGCCAAGAAACCGAGGGAGATCATCATTTCCCAACCATTGATGTTGACACTGCAAATAATGAAATTATGCGATTTCATCTTGGAGAACAAGCCATTGATAAAATGTTTTGTAACTCAAGGCATTTCCCTAACGTAATAGAAAACACTGAAGAGCAGAAAGAATGGAAGTGCAACAGCATTACCAGATGGCGAGCGCATTGATGGAAACCTCCGCATTTTTCATGTTGCCTGTTAGAAGAACCAACACTGTGTTGTACCACAGCTCAAGACTGACAATTAGCCAAGAATAGTAACTCAGTGGAAATTTGTATGAAAAAGAAAGGATGTGCCACTAGCCAACTGATGAAAGATTGCTAGTGATTGCTAGTGTCAGATTTCACCATTTCTTCGACAACAAATGATCGTTGACTTCTAAATCACACATTAGAGCATGTAGATACTAAGTGGTTGGACCAACTAAACTAATGCTGATCGACACAGAAATTTAGCAATTAGTGCGAATTCAAGAATGAAAATCTCATGTTTCGTTGATGAAATGATGCCTTACCATAGCATGGCGCCGGATGAAAGCGAGAGCTTGATCACTGGCCACAAGTCCTTATAGGCCAAACTCGAGAAACCCTTCCACGTATCTCGGCAACCTCCGCACATCACGAACACGAGTTGTCCTATATTAGGAATCCAATAAGCCAAAGTGGCTGAAGCCATAGCGCCTAGAATTCCAAACTTGTATTTCACGGTCAATAGCCACGAGAGGCATAGATGAACCACCAGCGAGAATGCCGCTATGTATGCAATGATCATGTTCTTACTCTGCGCTTGGAGAAACATTTGGCAGGTATAAGATAAGATAAAGGTGAAGAGGATCGGGATCAAGCAGAGTGAGATTTCTCCAGCGACCTCCGTAATTCTATCTTCCTGGCCTAATGCCTTCAAAAGTGGCGCGGTGAAGATGAACAGAGGAACTAGAAAGATGGAGCAGATTGTGAGGACAATCCATGATCTCTGAAGGTACACTCCGAGCATGTGGTATTGTTTTGCGCCATAGGCCTGGCCGCATAGGGTCTCTAGTGCACTTGCCATGCCGAGCTGCAAGTTCCATGGACAGAAGCGTGTTTTAAATAATTTCAAAACTCAGATTTCTGAACAACATCAAGAGTACACGACGAAAGGTTCCTCTAACAGGTGATAAAAAGCTATGCATGGAGATGTTTTTAGCAAATTCACCCAAAGTCTTGTTGGTCGTGCTCTTCTCCTACAATAACATATTATTGTTTCATTCAAAGCTATATATCCGCAATGCCAAAGCCTAGAATCAACTCCAAACTCATTTTCCTTTTTGCCTTTCGATTTCTGTATGCCTCGTTTAGATTACAATTTCACTGGCTCCAACATATTCAGAAAGTCGATCAAAATCTGACTAGCAGCTTCGATGAGAAGCTGGTACTGGTGTAGTGCTTTGCAGCAACTATTTTATGTCTCTGAGCATTGTTACTTCACATAAGACTGCTTCTACGAAAAAAATCAACATTCATTATTCAGTGTTGGGCTCAATGGCACAACATGTGCTTAAGAAGCATCTATAAACAATAAGCACAGAGACACAGAAATATTCTTTTGCAAACTGAAAATGTCAATGTAAGATGAGCAACAGCAAGACACCGTTTTACATGATTAAATGATGTGAAAAAATATACAATTAAAGTAATGGAAAACGTGCTGAAACTTACCACGAAGCCATTTGCGAATCTCAGGAGGACTGTGAAGACGAGAGAATAGGCCGCCAGTTCGGTGGACCCGATGTGGCCGATAAAAGCCTGGCTGATGATAGAAATCCCAAAGGTGGAGAATCTGGTGAATGTTGCAGGCGCCGCGACAACCCATATCTTCTTGGTCTCACTCCATATCCTGTCCTTCAATGGCTCATCCTTACCACCATCACCAACTTCCAGTTCTACCGAATTTTTTAGCAGCTTCTCGGTGCCCTCTCCCTCCATTGCCATGGCTAGTAATTAGAGGCCCAAGACAACGTCGCCTATTCCAATCAGCTGTACAGCAGAAACACAGTTTGAATCAAATTAAGCAGTGAGGGAGTTGGTTTCCCAGTGAAAGAGTTGCTTCTGGTGTAGACATGCCAAGAATTATGGCTTGTGTCGATGAGAAGTAGCAATAAATCAGTTTATAGTGAGGTTGTGTGCTCACCTCACATGTGCGGAGTTGCCTGTCGCATCACTGCTTCGATAACTAGACTCTCTTTAGCTTGGTTCAGCGAAAAAAATATAAAGTCTCTCTTAGCTTGGACAAAGCATACGTACTTACAAAGGAGTAACAGTACCCAAAACTCAACTGCAGATACACCAACATTCAAGAGTCATGAGCCTTAAAGTTTGTGAAGTGCAGATCTAAAATGGCATGAATAAGACAAACCTATGCTAATATAGGGGCAATCATCCCCCAGCTCAATATGTTAACCAATTAGATCAGCGTAAATTTCGATACCCACAAGCAGGGTTCATGTCAAGACGTGCGCACACTTGAAATTCCGTACGGCAGTGCGGTATAAGATTCTTGATGGTGAGGATGAAGTGACTCTAAAAGTAGCGATGGACATGAAATCAGGTGTTTTCAGTGAACCTAGAGCAAAGTCTCTCTACCAGTAAAGCTCAGATTTGATTCATTGAAAAGCCAGATTTCACGGAAAGTGGCAGAGCGAGGGCTGTATTATTTATTGGGGAAAATTCAAATTAAAGACCCTAAATGGGATCTTTTTCTCAAAAAAAATTCTAAATGAATATAGTGTCAAATAAGGGCTTGAAGTGCCCAATCAATCTCAAATAAGGATCCGAAGTGCCTAATTAATCTCAAGTAAGGGCCTGAGTTCGCCGGCCGGTCAAATGCTCGCCTGTCGGCGAGCACGGTTACTGTTCCGGCGACCGGAAAGGGCAATTTCGTCTTTTTCTTCTTTTTTTTTTTTTTTCCTTTTTTCTATTTTTTTTCCTTTTCCTTTTCCTTTTATGATTTTTTTCTTCTCTTCCCTCCGCCGGCCATAGCCGGGGCCGGCGGAGGTCGTCGGCCTCAAGCGGAGGTCGCCCGACGCCGGCGAGGGTGGCCTCCGCCTGACGCCGGCGACCTCTGCCGCCTCCGGCTATGGCCGGCGGAGGGAAGAGAAGGAAAAAAAAAAGAAAAAAGAAAAAGATGAAACTGTCCTTTTCCGGTCACTGGAACAGTAACCTTGCTCGCCGGCCGGCGAGCATTTGATCAGTCAGCGAACTCGGGACCTTACTTGAGACTAATTGGGCACTTCGGGTCCTTATTTGAGACTGATTGGGCACTTCGAATCCTTATTTGACATTATGTCCACTTGGAATTTTTTTTTTAGAAAAAGACTCCAATTGGGATCCTTAATTGGAATTTTCCCTTATATATTTGTTGGCATGTTTATGTTATGTAATGGCCTCCAGGCATCCGGAATCTTGATTCGCCCCACGACAGCAATCATGTCCTTGATTCTCAGTCCACGTGATATCAAATTGTTCACATCAGTCACTCCACTGTTTTTACTTGGCTTCGCATATATGAATCCTGAAACAGAAACTCATGTGACGAATTTGTTCATTATTTAGACTCACGTGATTTGCTCAATAATTACCTCATAGAATTTTCTGCACAAAATCTCCGTGCGTTCAAGAGCTACTTTGTTCACATTGAAGAAGTACACTGCTCTCTTTCTTCGTTCATTGTCCAAGAAAGTTTGTCACCTTTTACAGTGATGAAGAAGGGAAGTCTCCATCAACTTGTACAACTCGCGGCCCCTCTCCTTGTTGTTGATCCTTTTGACGCCAAACATTTGGAGTCTTTTTTTCATTAAATGTGCGGCCTGCGGAAGTCCTGCGCATGAGGGAAATTGAAGACTGTCTTCAACAGAAGAGAACAAATGAGAGATTAGATATAAACTGTGTGCAACCGAATCCACAAAATCAGCAAGATGACTTACGTAAATAATTTTAGATCAGATATTGTCCAATGGATCAAATTCAAGACATAATTTAACACTTCTGGTCCAAGAGCTGTTCAAAGAGCAATTTAAAAATTAGAAGGAGAAAAGACTGTCGGGGAAAAAGACATTGTATCCTCTGAGAGTCCAATTGAGGTGGGGACAAAACTCACCAGTGTTAAAGAAATCATTGTGTTTGACGTCCCTTCGATCAAGTCGAGCTTCGCATCTTGGAACGAGATCATTTTGTTCGTTTTATTTTGCAATCAATCCAACGCGAATGACGGATTTTCCCCGCACAAAATAGGTGGCGGGAAAAATGGCTGATCTGCGCGGTTTTATGCCTTGTCGACGGCGACCAAACTACCGAGTTGTTCACAAGTAGACCTGTTAAACGGGTGAGTCGGGTCGAGTTTGGGTCGGGTCATAAATGATCCGACCCAAATTGACCCATTAACTCGTTTATGACCCATTTATTCGTAGTGTAAATATCCCGATCCATACCCGACCCGACCCATACCCAACCCATACCCGACCCATATTGCTAAAACACTTTTATATTTAACCTAATCTAGGAATACTTGTTTCTTATGATTTTTTTTAAAATTTTTAATTTTTTTTTAAAATTAAGGTTCTGTTTGTTTTGCGAAAAATGCGATATTTCTAGAAAATATTTTCCATAAAGTCATTATCCAAGAAAATAAAAAAATTTCTGACGTTTGGCTGAAACCTAAAAATAAACTAGAAAATATTTTTCGATATTTGGTATATAAAATCTGATTTGATTTTACTTTGTGCATTCATTTTAATAATATTAATATTCTTTTATTTTTTAAATCGAACTTTTAATTATTTTTCTTTTTCCTTTATTTTTGGCCGATCGCCGGCCGCCATGGCCGGCGACCGACCACAAGCGAGGCTCCAGCTCGCCCGATTCCGGCGAGCCGAGCCTCGCCAGATCCGACGAGGCTCCACCTCGCCAGATCCGGCGAGCTCGAGTCTCGCCAGCCTCGGGCGAGGCTCCACCTCGCCAGATCCGGCGAGGTCGAGCTCGCCCGAGGCCGGCGAGCTCGAGTCTCGCCAGATCGGCAAGGCTGGAGCCTCGCCACAGGTCGGCGAGGCCTCGGCCTCGCCGGGATCGGGCGAGCCTTGAGGTCGCCGGAATCGGGCGAGCTTGAGACTCGCCGGATTGGCGAGGCTCAAGCCTCGCCCGAAGCCGGCAAGCTCGAGCTTCGCCGACCTTTGGCGAGGTCGTCCCGCCCCGGTGGCCGGTCGCCGTGGCCGACCACCGGCCGAAATAAAAAAAAAAAGAAAAAGAAAGAAGAGAAAAGAAAAAAGAAAAAGAGAAAAAAAAAAATAATTAAATTTCGATTTTTTTAAACATTTTTATAAAGAGGGAGAGAGTGTGTGGATGGGTCTAGTGGGTGGGTTGGACATGGGTTCCAAACTCAACCCATTTAGACCCATTTATCTTTAAGTTTTAAAATTTAAAACCCATTTAAAGTTAACTCTTTAAAATTAAAGTGACCCATATATAACCCATTTATTTTTAAATGGGTCATATATGGATTTAAGATCCATTTTGACACCTCTATTCACAAGCTGCAAGGCAGTTGCACTATCAATGTTCTTGAACAGTGTTCAGCCAGTTCTCGCGGGCTGGATTAGGAATTTTCTTCCCAAGTAACAGAAGCTCTGGATTGTATTCCCCACGAAAAAATGAGTTACATAAATGAGGGGAGGAGAATTTTATATACAAGTACATGATCGACCGTATCCGTAAATCCCTCCTCGATCTAACGGTGGAGGTTGAACCTCCCAACTACCATTACAGTATCGCCTGCCTCAGGAGTATTCTAGAATATTCGAGAAAACCTTAGGAGTTATAGTCCTCGAGATCCGCCACTTGTTCATGGGTTAATCAAGGTCCTTTGTTAAGAACTCTCATGAACGATCCAATTCTATGGGCCGTGACACAAGCGTGAACATTTACGAATATATATCCATCTTGCCAAAGTTTTAAGAGCAATATAATTCCATCAAAGCCATACCGAGTTATCACGCCGGGCGATGTCTTCTAATAAGTCCTTCGATTCAATCATGGGTTTGAAACTTCTCGGGTTGGAAGCAAGGACGGGTGGCCATAGGAGCAGGATACCAAAGTGTGGCTGCATTTGTTAATGTTGGATGTTGTCAGCTGAATGGTGTCCCCATCGGAGCTTTCCATGGATATGTTGTTGCCCACTTGGAGGTCAAGGTATGACTCGGAATTCATATGTGACTCGTATGAATTCAAGCAATCAACTTCCAAAAAACTGCATTCTTTTGGTAGATCGGCTACTTTCATCTAACAGTTTTGTGTACCATGCTTTCAAAACCATTTCTTTTCACCCTTGCAGAGAATATGGATAGGAATGATTTGTGGGGTTACTTCCCAATTGCTCGCTCTTCTCTACATGACATGGAAAACAAATTGGGATGAAATTTTCTTGCATAGTTTCCCATATTACACTCACTTAAGAACACTCACCGCTTCCTGCTACAGGTGATTACGCATCGGAACAACTGAATCGTCCATTTCTGAAACCATCCGAGATGTCTAACCAACAAAGCACAGAAGTAGTGCAGAAGACTGAACACTGATGACGTCCGACAGACCCTATACATCGGATCAGTATGCTATTGCTTCAGACATATTCACCTCCTAACGCAAGGTGGATTTGTACCCTGTCCATGACAACATTTTTGGTGCACCTGACGGTGTCAAAAAACAAGGTACGAGCAATTCTAGGAGAAAATTGCAGAATTTTGTGATGAAGAGTTCATGCATGTACAGCCTAGCAATAGACCCTGCCTCAATGCAATTCGTCGGCTTGATTAACAGAAAGGGGGAAAAAAACAAACAAGACTGAGAACTGCATATTATTTTTGTCATCCCAAAAGCATTAGCATTTCGCACAACGTCTAGGTGTATAGTCAAGAATCTTACAGGATCTATGGAAGAAGCTTAGTCAAATGCCATCATGTAAAACTCCTTCCTCATTTCAAAACCGGCAACTGTTGCAACTGCTAATTAGGCCATACAAGTCATCTTTGACAGCAGCTTTGCTAGCATTGCTGCCCACAATCAATGACAATTTACTTACGGCTCAAGCTCGTGTACTAAAACTACTCGCAAGCAGATTACATATATCGAGTAATTTTGACATTACCTACATTCGATTCGAAAACGGGAGAAACAATGTCGGATCGTGAAAGTTTGTCAATTCTTATTTCAGTTGCCCTTTTCATAGATTTGCTAGAGTGTCATTGTTCCTTCAATTCAAGTTGAATAACTAATGTTTTGACAGCATTTTCACTACTCATACGCTTATCTAATTAAATTGACAATTTGATACACATTTTACAGGACAGTTCCCTTATTAAACTCAAGGTCAGTTCCCTTGCTGGGAATCGAGATTTTTAAATGCGACACAAAACTTCTTGTTATCTTCAAAAGAATAACAGGAGAACGAGAAAAGATTGAATCAGACACCCGTGCCGGTCTAGCGTGATGCTTCTTCAGCCACAAACCACTCATTAACGCGTGTTTGAGCTAGTAATACCTGCAGAAGGACGTTGAGACTTACTGACCCTCACAGTCATCAGGAATTGATGGAGAATAGTAAAATCTGGCAAACCTGCTTATCCCAATCGGTTTTGTAGGTAATAACAATCAGTACTACAGTCTGAACGAAAGTTCCAAACAGCATTCCCATCCACAAGCCCTACAAGACAGATTATCAAACGTTAGGAATTTCAAATTTACAGGTGCCAGTCAAGAACTTCAGCCCATTTTGACATGTCTCACTCTTTGACATGCAAATTCGCCAATGTAGACTGTCTTAGAAAGGATATTAGTAGCTCACCTTCACTTGCATACTTAGAAAATAGGCAAGCGCCACTCCCACGGGAATCCCTACTAGGTAATAGCTTATGATGTTGACATAGGCTACTATGCTCTGCCAACCAGCTCCAACGGCAACTCCTGATAAATAAATGTTGAGACTAATGTTCAATCACGATCAGGTACTAATGATTTGATATTAATACACCACTTATCGCTCACGTCATATGGTGGATTGTCATATTTCTCAAATTACATGGGATCTCACTGAATCCCACAAAAGAGAAACATGAACATCATAAGAATCTTATGTATTGATCAATTAAGTTTATGTCCACTCATGTCAGTGATAATCAAAAACCATGAAGAACTTCTTTAAGGTATAATGAAGTCTTATTCATCTGATTAGGAGGGAATAGTGGAGAAGAAGTACCAGAAAGCACCAGTTGGACGCTGTTCAAAAGTATGGAAATAGCCAGAAGAGGCGATAAATCAGCCACGGCATTGGCGACCTCACCGCTCTCAGTGAAAATATAAGCCAGACGCCCCCTGAAGAAGAGGAAGAACACAAAGAGAACAAATCCGATGGCGAACGATGTGAGCACTACCATCATGATCGAGAACTTTGCTGATCTTGCGCTCCCTCTTCCTAGTTCATTCGATACTCGAACACTGAAAATGTATACAAAATTCAGAATTGATGGTAAAATGCAAGTCTAGAGGAGGAATTAATGGTCAACAGGTGTCATGACTCATGTAATTATACCTTGCTGCAGCCAAGAAACCGAAAGAGATCATCATTTCCCAACCACTAATGTTGAGGCTGCAAATAATGAAATTATGCTCTTCATTTTAGTGAACAGGCCTTTGATAGAATTCCCTTATAACTCAAGGCATTTCCCTAACACTGAAGAGCAGAAAGAGAGGAAGTGCATCACAGTTACCAGATGGCAAGTGCATCGAGGGAAACCTCCGCATTTTCCATGTTGCCTGTTAGAAGAACCAACACTGTGTTGTACCACAACTCGAGGCTGACAATTAGCAAAGAATAGGTATTTAGTGAATATCTTGTGTGAAAAAGAAAGGATGTGCTGCTATCCACTTCTGATGCAAGATTGCTAGTGTTCAGAGTTCACCATCCATTCGACAACAAAAGTTGATCGACTTCTAAATCACACAATAGAGCATGTAGATACCAAATGGCTAGACCAACTAAACTCATGCTGATCCACACAGAAATTTAGCAATTAGTCCGATTTCAAGAACGAAATGTCATGTCCCGGTGATGAAATGCTGCCTTTACCATAGCATGGTGCCAGATGATAGCGAGAGCTTGATCACTGGCCAGAGGTCCTTAAATGCCAAACTTGATAGACCCTTCCATGTATCTCGGCAACCTCCGCACATCACGAACATGAGTTGTCCTATATTAGGAATCCAATATGCCAAAATGGTGGAAGCCATAGCGCCTAGAATTCCAAACTTGTATTTCACAATCAATAGCCACGAGAGGCATAGATGAACCACCACTGAGAACGCCGATGTGTATGCAATGATCATGTTCTTACTCTGCACTTGGAGAAACATTTGGCAGGTGAAAGATATGACGAAGGCAAAGAGGATCGGGATCAAGCCGAGTGAAATTTCTCCAGCGACCTCCGCAATTTTATCTGCCTGGCCTAAGGCCTTTAAAAGTGGCGCAGTGAAGATGAACAGAGGAACTAGAAAGATGGAGCAGATTGTTAGGACAATCCATGATCTCTGAAGGTACACTCCAAGCATGTGGTATTGTTTCGCGCCATAGGCCTGGCCACATAGGGTTTCCAATGCACTTGCCATGCCGAGCTGCAAGTTCATTAAACAGAAGCGCGTTTTAAATCATTCCAAACACAAATTTCTGATCAACATCACGAGTTACACAATGAAAGGTTCCTCTAACAGGTGATAAAAAGCTAGGCATGGAGATGTTTTTAGTGAATTCAGTCAAAGTCTTGTTGGTCATGCTCTTCTTCATCAATAACAAAGTATTGTTTCATTCAAAACCATAGCCACAATGCAAATGGCCTAGGATCAACTCCAAACTCGTTTTCCTTTTAGCTCTTTCGATGTCTGTATGCCTTGTTTACATTACAATTTCACTGGCTCTAACATATTCAGAAAGTTGATCAAAAGCTGACTAGCTGCTTCCATGAGAAGCTCGTAACTGGTATAGTGCTTCGCGGCAGCTATTTTATGTCATTGAGCATTATCACTTCCGGGACACGAGTCTGTTTCTATTAAAAAGATTATCATTCATTATTCAGTGTTGGGCTCAACGGTACTACATGCTTAAGAAGCATCTATAAACAATAGGCAGAGACAAAGATCTTAATGTTTTGCAAATTAGAAATGTTGATGTAAGATGAAAAGAAGCTAGATACCATACTACATGATTAAATTCTGTGAAAAATTGCCCAACTAAAGTCACGAAAAACATGCTCAAACATACCAGGATGCCGTTTGCGAATCTCAGGAGGACAGTGAAGACAAGAGAATAGGCAGCCAGTTCAGTGGACCCGATGTGGCCGATAAAAGCTTGGCTGATGACATAAATCCCAAAGGTGGAGAATCTGGTGAATATTGTAGGCGCCGCGACAATCCACATCTTCTTGGTCTCACTCCATATCCTGTCCTTCAGTGGCTCATCCTCACCACCATCACCAACTTCCACTGCTACCGATTTTTTCAGCAGCTTCTCGGTCACCTCTCCCTCCATTGCCATGGCAAGTAATTAGATCTATGTTCGCTTTATATGCCCAAGACAACTCGCCTACTCGAATCAGCTGTAAACCAGAAATACAGTTCGAATCAAATTAAGCAGTGAGGGAGTGGAATTCCCATTGAAAGAGTTGCTTCTGGTGTAGACATGCCAAGAATCATGGCTTGTGATGATGAGAACTCGCAGTAAATCAGTTGATAGTGGGGTTGTGCGCTCACGTCACATGTTTAGAGTTGCGAAGCGCACTCACTGCTTCGATAACTAGACTTTCTTAGCTTGGTTCACCGAAAAAACAAATATTTCTTTTACCCTCTTAGGTTAAACCAACAGAGTGGATGCACATGCGAAAAGGGAAAAATTCTAATATCATGTTAGATAATCCAACCTAAAAGCTCAACTCAATAGGTGAAGGCCGACCGCAATCTGCATACATATAAAGAACATATAAACATCATTGTCAAGCGACGTATGATATTTTAACACTTTTTGTTTGCATGTTTATGTAAGTAATGGCCAAAAGCTGTCAGGAATCTTGATTCACCACAAGACAACAACCATGTCTTTCATCGTCCATGAGTCCCTGACATATAAAAAATGGTTTACATCGGAGTCACGCTGTTTTCACTTGGCTTCACGCACATGAAGTATGAAACGCGAACTCACGTGATGAATTCGTTCATCGAAAAAGCTCGCTGTCTCTCTCTCTTGTCCTCTCTGGTCGGGCGGCACAAGTTTCACAACGGTGCAAATGCCAACTGAGGATATAGATTTTCTTTTGGTCCAACTTCCAAGAGCTGTTCCAAGAGCAATTTAAAAATTCGAGGGTGAGTAATCAATTCATGTGCGGACAAAACCCATCAGTCTTTAAAGAAATCATTCGTGTTTGACGTCTCTTCGATCAGGACAAGCGTCACGTTTGCAAAGGAGTGGGAGAATCGTAATCTTTTTTTTTTTGTTTTATTTTGGCGTCAAATCATGATGTTAAGTAAAGATCCACGCCTCTGGATGGGCGTGGGGTGCAGGGGGCCCCGACCCAAACATACGTATTTTAAAATATATATACATTTTTTTAAACTATATACATATATTGTATATTGAATTATTCTAATACATATGGTAATTACAAATGATATAATCAAATTTAGTATAGTATATATATTTTATATATTTAGTTAATCGAATATACATTTTATCCGTAATTACGAATAGTACTTGAGAATTTACATTGTCAATATAACTCGTGATATTAGAATTTTCCGTAAAAGTATACACCTTTCGATATTTAAAGTACATGTAGTTTTAGTACTGGGGAAGGGCCACGACTCAAATATGGAAGGCAGATATTCTCCATCCCTTTTGACAGCAAGAAGGATTTGCATTCCGCTGCTCTATCAAATTTCTCAGGTCTTTGTTGCCCGTGCAAGTCTGGATGACAATAGGCAGATGGACATTACTGCGATTGGACCCGGTTCTGTGTGTCTGATCTCCAATGCTTTCTAGTTTGAGTGTCTCAAATGAGCTCGGGGAGAGGAAACACCCGAGCTGCAAAATTCGCCATCCAAGTCGTCTTCGGCACACGGCCACATGTTTCAGGCTGATCTGCGCGGTTCCACGCCTTCTCTACAGCTAGCAAATATGTCGGGTTGTCCATAAACTGTGAGGAAGTGGACGAGTCTGTGTCTAAGCTCACTTATCTGCTTGCACAGTGTTCGGCCAGTCAAGGCAAGCGTGAACATTTACGACAAGTCAGAATTCGTATGTGACTTGGATCACCACAAGTGATTGACTTCCAAAAATTGCATTTGTTGGGTAATTTGATTACTTCTATCAAACTGTTTTGTTATAATGAGTCTCGAGTTTGAGCCCGTTGAATAAAACCCGGCCCGAATACAGTGAAAATACACGGACTTTTTGGTTGTGGAAATTGAAAAGAATGAAAAATGGGGCACAGAATTTCCTAAAGCACTGGAGTCGGCCACGGTAATAAAACAAGGAAAGTCGACCATGGACTTTTCGCAAGCGTTGCCGCTTATAATCAACGACAATTACTCAAGGCTCAAGCTCGTGTGCTAAAACTACTCGCGATTAGCATTTCCTAACATTCAATTCGAAAGGGAACTGAAAATCTGTTCCTGGAAGAACAAACATATTGAAACTCAAAATGTTCGACGAGATAGGAAATTGCTCGCTTTGGCGAAATAACACAGGATTACAGGAGGAGAAATGGTGTCGAAATCATGAAAGTACGTGTTTTCTCATTTCAATTGCCATCTTCATAGATTTGCTAGAATGTCATTGTTCCTGTAATTTAGGTCGAATAACTAATGTTTTGACAGCACTTCCACTGCTCGTACGCTTATCTTATTAAATTGATGCGCATCTTGCAGGACGGTTCCCTTGCTGGGAATTGAGATTTTTACATCTGATACAGAGCTTTTCGCTATCTTCAAGAGTGTAACAGTAGAATGAAGAAAAGATCGAATTAGACACCCGTGCCGGTCTTGTGTGATGCTTCTTCTGCCACGAACCACTCATTGACGCGTCTTTGAGCTAGTGATACCTGCATAACATCATGGAGATTCATCGACCCACAAAATAATCAGGAATTAATGGAGAATAGTAATATCCGGCGCACCTGCTTATCCCAATCAGTTTTGTAGGTAATAACGATCAGTACTATAGTCTGCACGAAAGTTCCGAACAGCATTCCGACCCAGACGCCCTACAAGACAGATGATCAAGTTCTAGGAATCTCAATTTTACAGGTGCAGGTTAGGAGCTTCAGCCCATCTTGACATGTCTCACTCTTTGACATGCAAATTCGCCAATGCAGCCCATCTAAGAGAGGAAATTAGTAGCTCACCTTCACTTGCATACTAAAGAAATAGGCAAGCGCGACTCCTACAGGAATCCCCACTAGGTAATAGCTTATGATGTTGACATAGGCTACTATGCTCTGCCAACCAGCTCCAACGGCGACTCCTGATAAACAAATGTTGAGACTAATGTTCAATCACAATCAGGTACTAATGATTTGATATTAATCCACCACTCATCGCTCACGTCATACAATGGATCGCCATATCTCTCAGATTGAATGGGAGCTCACTGAATCCCACAACAGAGTAACATGAATCCCATGAAAATTTTGTGTATTGATTGATTAAGTTTATATCCACTCATATCGGTTATAATTGAAAACCATCAGGTTCTTTAAGGAATAATGTACTTTTATTCATCTGACCAGAAGGGAATAGTGGAGAAGAAGTACCGGAAAGCACCGGTTGGACGCTGTTCAAAAGTATGGAAATAGCCAGAAGAGGTGATAAATCAGCCACGGCATTGGCAACCTCATCGCTCTCCGTGAAAATATAAGCCAGACGCCCCCTGAAGAAGAGGAAGAACACAAAGAGAACAAATCCTATGCCGAATGATGTGAGCACCGTAATCATGATTGACAACTTTGCTGATCTTGAGCTCCCTCTTCCTAGTTCATTGGATACTCGAATGCTGAAAAAGCATACAAAATTAAGAATTTTGCTAGTAAAGTGCGCGTCTAGAGAAGGAATTAATAGTCAATACGAGTCATGACTCATGTGATTACACCTTGCTGCAGCCAAGAAACCGAGGGAGATCATCATTTCCCAACCATTGATATTGAGGCTGCAAGTAATGAAATTATGCCATTTCATTTTAGTGAACTAGCCTTTGCTAAAGGAATTTTTGTAATCAAGGCATTTCCCAAACGTAATGGAAAACACCTAAAAGCTGAAAGAGTGGAAGCGCAAACACAATTACCAGATGGCGAGCGCATCGATGGAAACCTCTGCTTTTTCCATGTTGCCTGTTAGAAGAACCAAAACCGTGTTGTACCACAGCTCGAGACTGACAATTAGCAAAGAATAGGAATTCAGTGAAAATCTTGTATGAAAAAGAAAGGATGTACTGCTATCCACTTCTGATGCGAGATTTCAAGTGTTCAGATATCACCATTTATTTGACAACAAAAGATAGCCGGCTTCTAAATCAGCCATCGGGCACGTAGATACCAAATGGTTAGACCAACTAAACTAATGCTGATCCGCACAGAAACTTATCAATTAGTCTGAATTCGAGAACGAAATCTCGTGTCTCGGTGATGAAGTGCTGACTTACCATAGCATGGCGCCAGATGAAAGTGAGAGCTTGATCACTGGCCACAAGGCCTTAAAGGCCGAACTCGAGAAACCCTTCCACGTATCTCGGCAACCTCCGCACAACACAAACATGAGTTGTCCTATATTAGGAATCCAATATGCCAAAATGGTGGAAGCGATAGCGCCTAGAATTCCAAACTTGTATTTCACGGTCAATAGCCACGAAAGGCACAGATGAACCACTGCCGAGAATGCCGCTACGTATGCAATGATCATGTTCTTACTCTGCGCTTGGAGAAACATTTGGCAGGTGAAAGATACGACGAAGGCAAAGAGGACTGGGATCAACCAGAGTGAGATGTCTCCAGCGACCTCCGCAATTTTATCTTCCTGGCCTAAGGCCCTTAAAAGTGGCGCAGTGAAGATGAAAAGGGGAACTAGAAAGATGGAGCAGATTGTTAGGACAATCCATGATCTCTGGAGGTACACTCCGAGCATGTGGTATTGTTTCGCGCCATAGGCCTGGCCACATAGCGTCTCTAGCGCACTTGCCATACCGAGCTGCAAGTTCCATAAATAGAAGCTGTTGTAACTCATTTCAAAACTCAAATTTCTGGACAACATCACATGAATTACATGACGAAAAGTTCCTCTGACAGGTGATAAAAAAGATATGCATGGAGATGTTGTTGGCAAATTCACTCATAAGTCTTGTTGGTCATGCTCTATTTCAACAATAACAAAGTATTGTTTCGTTCAAAGTCACAGCCACAACGCAAATGACCTAGGTTCAACTCCGAACTCATTTTCCTCGTTGCTCTTTCGATTTCTATATGCCTCGTTCTCATAACAATTTCACTGGCTTCGAAGTACTCAGAAAGCCGATGAAAGCTGATGAGCTGTTTCCATGAATAGCCAATACTGGTATAGTGCTTCGCGGCAGCTATTTTATGTTTGAACATTATTACTTAATGGACATAAGACTACTGTTTCGATTTCTATAAAAATGTTGACGTAAGATGAACAACAGAAAGATACCATATTACACGATTATATTATATGAAAAAATTGACAACTAAAGTAATGGAAAACATGCTTAAACATACCAGGATGCCGTTTGCGAATCTCACTAGGACAGTGAAGACGAGAGAATAGGCAGCCAATTCGGTGGACCCGATATGGCCGATAAAAGCTTGGCTGATGACATAAATCCCAAAGGTGGAGAATCTGGTGAATATTGCAGGCGCCGCGACAATCCACATCTTCTTGGTCTCACTCCATATCCTGTCCTTCAGTGGCTCATCCTCACCACCATCACCGACTTCCACTGCTGCCAATTTTTTCAGCAGCTTCTCGTTTGCCTCTCCCTCCATTGCCATGGCTAGTAATTAGATCTATGTTCACCTTATATGCCCAAGACAACTTCTCCTACTTCTATCAGCTGTAAACCACAAACACAGTTTGAATCAAATTAGGCAGTGAGGGAGTGGATTTCCCAGTGAAAGAGTTGCTTCTGGTGTAGACATGCCAAGAATCATGGCTTGTGACGATGAGAACTCGCAGTAAATCAGTTGATAGTGAGGTATGTGCGCTCACATCACATGTTCAGAGCTGCGGAACGCACCACTGCTATGATAACTAGACTCTCTTAGCTCGGTTCAGCAAAAAAAAAAAAACACAAAAAATAAGACCCTCTTAGCTTGGACAAAGCATACGACTTATAAAGGAGTAACAGCACCCAAAACTCAACTGCAGATACACACCACCATTCAAGAGTCGCGAGCGTTAATAAGAAGAACCTGTGCAAATATAGGGGCAAACATGACCAGCTCAATATATCGACCAATCATGACTAAAATTTGGTATGGTGAAGCAGAGGATCGATGGCTTTCCTACTTTTGTTCAGCTACGCCTCGATAACTGCAAGCAGTGTTCTTGTCGCACTTGAAATTTCTTTAGGCAGTGTGGCATGACATTCTTAGTTGTGAGGATGAAGTGAACTCCAAAACTAGTGATGGACATGAAATGAGGATAAGCAAACGTGTTTGTTCGAACCTAGAGCGAAGTTTTTCCAGAAGAAAAACTCAGATTTGACTCATTGAAAAGCCAGATTCCACGGAAAGGGACAGAGTGAGAGCTGCATTATTTTTTTGTTGGCATGTTCATGTATGTAATGTCCAAAAGGCATCAGGAATCTTGATTCACCCCGCGACAACAATCATGTCTACGATTGCCTGTCAGTCCCATGAGATATCGAATGGTTCACGTAAGTCACTCCACTGTTTTCGCTTGGCTTCCCATACATAAATTCTGGAACGCAGACCCACGTGACGAATTCGTGCATTTGAAAAGATGCTCCCTTTCTTGTCCTCTCCGGTGGAACGGGTGAGTTGACGTCGAGAACGAGGAGAAACGTCATGGTGATGGTGGGAGGAATTGTCCTCCGGAGTTGCGAATTGATTTAAGAAGAGGCCACCGCCCGATTTACATATAAATTATACTATCACGTCCAAGCTGCCACATTTGAATAGTTATACAAGTTAACACTCGATGGTACACATGCCAACTGAGGATATAGATTTGCTTTTGGTCCAAGAGCTGTTCGAAGAGCAATTGAAAAATTAGAGGGAGAAAAGACTGTCGAGGAAAAAAGAAATTTGTCTCTTCTGAGAGTTAAATGGAGGGGTGGACAAAACTCACTAGTTTTAAAGCAATCGTTTGTCCCCTAATGATATGTGGCGCTAGTTAATTTGTCAAATTAGCGATCTATCAAGTCTCGTTTGCATAGAATAGACCCAACGAGCAAAGAGCACTGCTCAACTTGACTGCTAAGGATGATAGTTACAATGTTCATTTGTAGTTTAATCATTTGTGAAAACCTACATTTGTCCCTTGATGATAGTACGTTGATTAACCCGGTCAAATTAACGGAGATATCTCTCTAAGTCCCGTTTATGAATATCCCTCTCTAATTTATAAAAATAATTTGGAAGAACAAATTAAACAAACTCAGCAAAACAATCCGGATGATCATTTAAAAAATCCGAATATAATTATTTTTTCGAGTCTCGTTTGCATACATCTATTATAATATCGAAACGGTGATTTAAAAGAACAAATAAAACAATTTTAGCAAAACGCCGTCCGGTCACTTATTTTCTAAGCAACTTAAATACAAAATAACATTTGAGAAGAAGTAAAATATAAATTATTATTTTAAACTGGGCTTTGGATTTAAGTCATTTTGCTTTCTTTTATTTTGCGGGTCGGGTTGGATCGAGTGCTTGAACGATTCGGTTCATTTCGAATATTGACTTTCCCCAGCCAATTCGGGTCGGGTCGGATCTCCAATATCGGGTCGCCCATCTGGGGCTCTCCACATCCTTCCGAGTCTTTCTATACAGTGGCTCAGCTTCTTCGCGCTCCTCTCCCGCTTCGCATCTCACGCTCTCTGAAGACATTGTTGGTGGATTTTGGCAGCTCGACCGTGCATTCGCCGGCGCGATACTTCCTCTCAAAAGGGTCCGTCGCTGCTGGTTTCTTGTCTTTGAGTGAATGTGCATTGTGGGTCAGAGTTAGACTTGCTAGTTCTGCAATTTCTGATTGATTCCCTGGAAAATTTTGGACAAATTTTGTGTTTTTTTTGGTTCCGTTTCTCGTGATTTCGATTCACTCGTGTTTCTTTCTTGGTTGGCCACTTGAAGCTGTCTTTTGCTGTTTTTCAGGGTTGCTCGGTTATGATCTTTAAGAAATTGCACGCTGAGTGTTTGATGAAAGTTTGTGAAAGGGGAGACACATGTAGAAGAAAACTATCTTTGCTTGTTTGATGCGTGATATGCCGTTGAAACGTGGACTGGAGAAAAACCAATCGAAACTGAGTTGTGTTACGACCGTTCTTTATCATGACATGCGATCGCTTTGTTCATGTACGGTTTTCTCTATTCGTCGCATATATCAGTTGTATGACTGCTTCATGAGATACTCTATCAGCAATCAGGGTCAATATTGTATTTCTCAGCTGTTAATGCTTTTCGTTGTTCTAGTGCAATGGTGTGGGTGCGTTTGTTTTACGGAAAACTCAAGATTTGAAAACCATTTTACGAAAGATGGTTGGTTACATTGCTTAGAAAAATTAGTCAACGGAAAATGTTTTCATTATTGAAGATAATTTATGCCTAACTATTTTTGCAGATGATGGAAATACTTCTCATTCATTCAATTTTGTAAGGAATATAAGCGATCATTTTTTGGAAAATGTTTTCCAAATCTTGAGTTTTCCGCGAAATAAACGCACCCTAAGTTACTTATTTACAAGGATCTTGTTTCCATTATCATTCTATTAGTAAGGACCCATCTACAGTCTACTATACTGCAAACTTAAGGCATGTGGTTTATACTTCTCTTCTTTTGTAATGAACAGGGTGACTTTTATACGACCGAAACATCATACTGGGCCATAACATTAAGAGGGAATGGAAAAGATGAACATTATATTTTTCCAATTATTTTCCCTTTTATCTGACTTTGGTGCATTGGTTCTAGCAATTCCAAGTTCGTTATATTGATTCCCCAACTCAGAGATGGTTATCCCACCACCAGCTAAGCCACCGAGAATAATAAACTTTCTCAAGCCTTATGTTCTGAAGATGCACTTCACTAACAAGTTTGTGAGTGCCCAAGTGATCCATTCCCCTACTGCTACTGTCGCATCTTCAGCGAGCTTGCAGGAGAAGGCTTTGAGACCGAGCATGGACTCGACTCGAGACATGGCCACAGCTGCGAAGATAGGAAAGATACTGGGAGAGAGGCTGCTGCTCAAGGGCATACCTGCTGTCGCCATCCACTTGAAAAGAGAACAAAAGTATCATGGCGAAGTTAAGGCAGTCATCGATTCTGTGAGAGGAGCAGGTGTGAAGTTGCTTTGAGAATTCCTGAACTTATTGGTTGGATTTGTTTTAAGACTTGTGACCTTTGTTCGAAGTGATCTTCACTTGAGACAGATGGCAATGAAAGAGAGTGCATGAGATTTTTATGGTGGAGGTTTCTTATATTGATTTCTTCTTAGTAAGGATATAAGCATATTGAATGTTTGGGCATGTACACATCTGAGCATGTGTATTGGCATGTTTGGATAGATTATCAGGGTGAGAATGATTGAAAATGATGAGCCTGCTGCTCAACTCTTATTTACTGAAGTCGTTGTATCCACACAAGTTGGTTCAGAGTCCAATTTAGATCATTGATTGCTCACGTTGGGCGCTTTCAGTTTCTGCTGGAGCCTTCTGATATTGAAAGAAAACAGTTGCTTGGGCTTCCCGACTTGCAAAGATCTGGCAATCTTTGTAGCTCCAATAAATGTTCAATTTATACTCTTTACCATATTAACAGGATAAGGCTATCGGGGAGAAGGCACAGGATGCTATATGCAGTAGTTGACGGATGATCAGGTTGATGAATTGTGGCCTAATCATGAAGTAGTGCTATCTGTCCGTCAAATAGAGATTGTGACTTGACACTTGCCTATGAAGCCAGAAGGACTCAGGGTTGAAGCTTTGCTACTCAAGCATAAATGAAAATCATATGCTAGTCATAATTTCGGCCGAAAAGACAAAGTTTAAAACAAATTGAGCTGGCTTTATTAACCGTAACAAGTTATTTTACCAATATAGCAATCATAATCACGTTCAGGGACTTGGCAGTGCATTGGACGTTCATGAACTTACGTCCTTCCCAAGAGATTCAGCATCTAATGTGGTGGTACATGGTATAATTCCAAAGGATGAGGCAATAAAACTGAACTCCTTTGTAAATACCTGAAAAGCTCCAAAGAAGCTAGCCATTCATCCTGGAAGATTTGCCCAGACAATTACTTCAATCCTTTCTATTTCTCTACAAGAATACAGGTTCAGTCTCAAAATCGGCAGTGAGGAGACATGCGGTTTGCGTCTTTCTCAAGCAGCACGATGTGTGGTTCCATGTCGAAGGCCCTGAAAAAATGGAGCCACAGAGAATGAAATGTGTATGTTTTCGCCAAAAAATTTGTGGGGATTGGAATTTGGAATGATATTAATCCGCTTTCTTTGCGGCCGGCGGGATGAGCAAAGCGCCTAGACTTGTGCAACTTCATTCTAATGGACGGCACCTTACGACCAACTCCATCCCTGGATGGGTCTTGAAGTTGATAGAGATTCTCAATCTCTTTCGACCTCTGCGACAATCGGGTCCACTCATCCCTTCCGATACTCCGAATGATATTTGTGAGGTATTTTTCTTTTACAGAATCTGAAGTACAAACGAAGATCCAGGATTGGGAGTAGTAGAGGACATCCTTGTATGGAATCTCAACATCATCACCGATATTGCAAGCTAATGTAGCCGTAAAACATTTGACAAGCACTTTCTTGATTTTAGAGATTTCATCACTTTATCTTAATTAGGAATTGTTGTTGGGATCTCCGTAGCATACATTGCATATGAAACTGGAAGACCCAAATATCTCGTGAGAACTGTGAGAAGGATGGAAAAAAGGGAAGCCAAATGGCTGAAGAGGCCAAAGCAGAAGGCATTAGATTTCATGGACCATGAAATTGTTGAGAAGATGTCAATTGAGACCATTCGCCATGTAGATCAGGGAATAGAAAAGTCGTCGGCTTGAAATGTCATTCAGAGATTGCATCTTTTACTCGCAAGTGAATAGTAGATCTTGGACTTGTACCTATCATCGCACTTATCTGCAATAGTAAACGAGTTATTAGAATTCAAAGTTATCTTATCGGAAAAATATTTGTAAAAGATTGCTCTTCGTTATGGATTATTCAAAATGGTCTACCAATCGGTAATGACCAGAGCCACACGCATGTATGAAATGAAAATTGCCGCCCAGACTTGACTAATATGCCTTCCAAGAAAAGCGGAGAAGACTCTCGCATCGTGTACAC